GCCACGGTAGGCGCCGCCGCCTCGTCCCCGCCCGCCCGGGAACAGGGCTTTGGACGAGGAGTCCCTTTAGTCCCACCGAGTCACTCCGAGGCCCGCGAGGAACGTTTCTGGCTCCTGCATGTTTTCGTGCTCGGTTTTTCTTTCCCGACCTACCCAGGAAACATCCCTCTGCTGTACTGTGGGTAATCCCTGCCCGGACTGCAGGTGGCTGGAGCGCCTGGCACGCCCTTATCCCACCTGAGGTCACCTTTGGACGAGGAGTCCCTTTAGTCCCACCGAGTCACTCCGAGGCCCGCGAGGAACGTTTCTGGCTCCTGCATGTTTTCGTGCTCGGTTTTTCTTTCCCGACCTACCCAGGAAACATCCCTCTGCTGTACTGTGGGTAATCCCTGCCCGGACTGCAGGTGGCTGGAGCGCCTGGCACGCCCTTATCCCACCTGAGGTCACCCTGCCGTCCAGAAGCAGAGCGCTTGTCCCGCTCCCTTCGCTGCTAACGGGTTTTTGCCTTCTGCTCTCCTAATTACATTGGAGGGGGAGGGAAGGAGGGGAGGCGAGCGTTACCTCTAGAAAAGTCAAACGCATTTTAGCTCCCAGTTTTACGTGGGCAGGTATATTAGAGGAGGAACCTGAGAAGGGTGAAATGATTCTCTTTTGCTTCCAACTTGTTATTAATAGTAATCTGATAAGATTATGGAAAGCAATATAATTCAGGGCCTTTTTTCTAAAGACAGCCGTTCCACTAGCACGGGTGGCAAAGGACTTGGACAGCCAAGATTTTTGCCCAATAAACTTGTATATTTGCACCACGCTACAGCTAATTGTTACTGGGTTTGATTACAAAATAAAACCACACTAAATAAGCGTTTTGTCTGTGAGCTCAGGAAGAAGTGGTGGAAATAGAGTATGTGGAGAAATACTTGGCGCCTCAGCCAGAGGAATGCATCTTCCACGATGACTGGATCAGTTCTGTTCAAGCCACTGAAGAATGGTACCACACTTACCGCTTCTAAGTTTTGCCTCGCTTAGTGCTATTGTAAACAGAGGACTCCGTGGTGTCACATGGAGTGGTATTCTTTCTCTTTAATCATCTTTACTTTTTCCCCCTTGTTCTCTTTTTGTTCTGATTTCACCTGGCAAGTCAGTCAGCCACTTGCTTTGGAAAGCGGCTCAGTTTTAACACCTCTGTTCTGTGCTGACGAGTGACTTTAACGCAAGTGGCAAGCAACCAGGGTCATAGAAGATGATATATTTTTAACACAAATGCATAATACCAATGCTGCTTACTGTCCTTTCTCTCAGAGGACAGCAAGAATTTCTTTCTTTCCAATTCTTTTTTTAAGCATAAATCCTTTTTACTTCAAATGCAACTTTCACGTAGCAACAAATATGTCTGCAGAACCCTTGCGCAGAGCTTTTTTTAAAACCCAATACTTAAAATTGTCATTTTCTGCTCTGTTTTCGAATTTATTGTCCACTCAGGTAGGCAATGTTTCTACGCTATGTAATGGTTTGAAAATGTTTGGAGATCCTCCAGTAGTGTACTGTGAACAATGAATTATCTTTCATTTTATATGACGTTTGAGATCTTCAGTTATATGTCAGTCTTTCCTGCCAGCATACGTAGCTTTCTTATTTTGTTGCTTTTCTTTTTGTCCTATACTCCTAGCCCTGCAGTTGTAGACTTTAATGAAGCTTAGCTCTGTAACAAAAAGTTCATTTACTTTCCAGAACTCACATTTTTATACAAAGTAGCTATGTTTTGAATTCATTTCAGCTAACCAGTTACTGTGCTAAAGTTTGTCTATCTATCTGATAGACAAGTTTTTTGGTAAAACAGTATTGGTTTTAAAGACAAGAATACTTCAACTTCTGTACCTTGTAGGATATTAACTGGCTGCTATGACCAGACTGCTCGAATCTGGTCTTTGGAAGGAAAATCCATTATGACAATAGCCGGGCATACAGAAGTAGTGAAGGACGTGGCATGGGTGAAACAAGGTCAGTCTATATTATTGCGGGACTAATAATAGTTTGATTTATGGGAGGAGAAACATCAGTATTCCTCAACCAAAGAATATTCCATAGTCTAGATGTAGATGTTACCATTCTTTTAGCCTCTATCAGTGATGTTAGAAATAATTGTCCAAAAAAAGTCCATTGACAGTAATGAACTTAGTTTAACGTGCACATTGTCCATAACCAGTCTTCATTAGCAGGTATTTTTATGCATATTTAAATTCATTGTACTTGAAGGGTAATTTGATGTAAACTAAGATGTATATGGGATTCTGTCTATCTCTTATTTCTTCTTTGAGTGGAATAATTACTATAAAGGCTTTGGAAAGCTGAGCTGAGTGTGAGCATGACTTCTTTCTTCCTCAGACAGTCTATCATGCCTGTTACTCAGTGCTTCTATGGACCAAACTATCCTGCTATGGGAGTGGAACGTGGAGAGAAACAAAGTGAAAGCCCTCCACTGCTGCAGAGGACATGCTGGGAGCGTAGACTCCATAGCAGTTGATTGCACAAGAACTAAAGTGAGTGACCTGCAGAAATAAATCTTTGTCTTTTGGGATGTTAACAGCCTGTATCTCAAAAATCATCTTTTGATCATCAGGTTGCTAGGAGTGACGCACTGAAATTTCCAGTCTTGTTATAAATGATGGTTATTAAGGACTACTAGTGCTACGTCAACACAGGGTCATCGTTTCAAAGAGGTGTACTTAACCTCCAATATTGCTAAAAGCTGAGTGTGACTTCAGATAGCAGGAGACGTTATACTGCTGCTTTTGACTTCTGTGAGTAAAGTGGGATGTTTAAGTAAGCGTTGCATGTAGCATAAATTTGAGTGTGGGCTGTATTTTATTTTATTTTCAAATTAGACCTAAATTCCTACAATAGTATGGGATGGAAAAAAGGTCTTCCAAAGTGATAATCAGAAAAAGCAGGTGGCAGAAAAGGTCTCTTTCTTTTACCCAGGAATTCAACGGTAAGAGCATTCATACTGAAAAACGGAGTCACCCTTCTCTGCTTGACTCAATATCAGACAAGTTAACATAAAACCTTTTGGTGCTGAAGGAAATAAAGAGGTCTTTTATAGTCATTTTTCCTGCCAGGAAAAAAAAAAAACAACATGATCTATACCAAAAAACTCTTTTGTTTTCAGGAGTCCTGGACTGTTCTTCATGTATTATAAACCATCAGTTGGTCAAATTGATCAATTTTTTTCAAGCAGCATGTGTCCTTCACGTGGCTTATGAGGTTTTTCTGGATCGGCTTTTAACAAAATGTTTCTGTTCATACAGTTCTGCAGTGGATCTTGGGATAAGATGTTAAAGATCTGGTCTGCAGGTAAGATAAGTGTAAACTGGGATTCTTGGCTTTGTAGAACTTCAAAATTGTGCTTATGACAACCTGAACGACGGATATCTGAATATTTTTGTCTTTAAGGAAAATTTGAATATATAATAATATCGAAGGCAGGCTACAACAATTTTTTGCAGTAGCTTTGCAAGACTATATATCACTGTCTTAAGTTACTGTTTTTTGTTTGCGAACCCTTAATTTTCAGGTGTGCTTGACAATTGCTTGCTGCTGTTTACTTTATTCAGAACACTCAATAGTTTGTATCTGTTCCATATGTTTTTAACAGGTTAATACACGTATGCAAGTTTGAATATGGGCTCTTTATAAATCAAAAGCTTGTGGGTTATCTTCTTGTTCTATTATTGGCACCATGATTTAGAAGACAACAAGAGAGCCAGGTCTTTCCTAGAAATGTAGATTAATCCCATTTGATCTGAATGTCGTCTTTTGCAACGACAAGTCATGCTCTTTTAGTGTGGGGGATATATACATAGGTTCTGTGGCTAAAAGAAAGATTGTGTTTACCACACAACATGATTCTTCCATTGGGATCTTCCATGAGGAAGGATGATTTTAAAAATTCAACAGGGACTTTAGAGTTCAGAATTCTTATTTTCAAACTGTATGACCAGGAAAAGACAACTTAATTTGTGTTCATTTTCCTCATGCGCAAAATTGATATCGTTAGAGGCGTGCAGTTAATTTAACTTATGCATCGTAGGTGAGTTAGATACTGTGATAATGCATAATGCATTAATGTCTTATATGGAAATACATTTCAAAAACCTCTAAACAAAGTTTGACTGTCTTCTGTCATAGTACCTACAGATGAAGAGGATGAAATGGAAGAGGCAGCTAATAGGCCACGGAAAAAGCAGAAAACTGAACAGCTGGGACTCACAAGGGTAAGATGAGGTCCGGGTTTGCCCGCGATTTCATTTTAAGATTGCGGCCACGCAAATCTTAAAAATAAGATTATAAATATCTTTGCTAAAAGTGACTACAGAGAAATTTCTGGTGATGTGTCCGAGGCTGATCAGACACATGTTTGATTGTTGAAACAACAGATTTGTCTGTGATACTCAATCTAGTCTCTTCTCACCCTTAAATTTTAGACACCCCTCACAACCCTCTCTGGCCACACAGAAGCCATCTCTTCTGTGCTGTGGTCAGATGCTGAAGAAATTTGCAGTGCATCATGGGACCACACCATCAAGCTGTGGGACGCTGAGACAGGAAGTCTCAAGTCAACTTTGGTGAGATCAGTATATGCAGTTTGAAGTATTTTGTCAGTAGGTGCAACTACAGTCCAGCTTAAAGGAAAATCAAAGATAGCATCTCCCTTTCTCAGAGTGTGTTCTTTTTTTTCTTTTCTTTTGACAGACAGGAAACAAAGTATTTAATTCTGTCTCCTACTCCCCACTGTGTCGACGCCTAGCATCTGGGAGCACTGACAGACATATTAGACTATGGGATCCTCGCAGCAAAGGTGAGCTAAAACTTGTATTTGCACAAAGTTATTTTTTCAGAGTCATAACTTCTCCTTGTTGGAAGACATCTCACAGACTGCGTTCTGGTGCCTCTGTTTGAAACAAGCCATTTGGGAGCTGTTATGTAACACAGTTTTCCATCATCTGTTTTCCATCAGCTGATGCAAGACTTCAGTTTCTTACCTAACAATTTAGAACATTAATGCAGCTTTAAATTTTCCTCACTTTTTTTTTTTCTTATTAATGAATGTTCAGTTGTGCAGTTACAGGCCTAAAATTTTGCTTGCTTGCTTTTTTTGGTTTGTTTGTTTGTTTTGGGCAAGAGTCAATCCCTCTACCTGGATTGACCACCTAAGTTTAAGTTGGAGGGACCATCCTTAAAGTGAAATAGTAGCCAGTTTGTTTTGATGTAGTGCTGCCACGTCTGACAAGGTGGCTAATCACTTATGACGGAGACTACCCGATTTGTTTCATAGATATTTTTACTTGTTTAGCTTCTATAAATCTGCTTCAGGGTTTAACAGTATTATCTTCAGGGGAAAAAACTTCACTATTTTATTGTTAACAATACAAGCTTCCCCCCAAAAAAATGTTTGAAAAGAGAGTTTAGTGATGAGAAAATAAGTTTTGATTTTTTTTTAATTCTTTTTACCATAACTTGTATGGCTTATGTTCTTCACTGTTTGCTTTCTTCAAAGTTCACTTTGTTTTTTGAAATTAGAATCACAGAATAACGGGGAACAAACTCTTACCTTGAACACCTAGCTGTAGCTCTGACTGCTTTTTCTCACTGGATTTTATACACATCTTAAAAGGGTCTGTTTCAGTTGATGTCTGCTGAATGGCTTGTTTCTTTTTCTGTCCAGATGGCTCCTTGGTTCTCCTGTCTCTGACTTCTCACACGGGCTGGGTGACATCTGTGAAGTGGTCACCCACCCACGAGCATCAGCTGATTTCAGGCTCTCTGGACAACATTGTGAAGCTTTGGGACACAAGGAGGTAAAACAAACGTGCATTCTTTGCTGTTCAAAGGCATGCGAGCTTATAGGGTCAGTTAACATAGTGAAATGGGAAAAATGGCCTGAAAAATGAACAGAGAGAAAGAACTGAGAAAGAACACCTCATTGCTTGTGGAAATCCTCTAGCATTTAGGAGTCAAACACATAAGGAAAGGGAGAAAAATTCTGGCGTCTTACCAGAGGATCAATGGCTTAACATCTATGGGAGCTGTATGATGGTCTAACACAAGACTTATCTAGCATTATTAATAGCAACGCTTGAATCGCAAAAGGCAGCAATGATAACATTGCTACTGAGATTAAGAACAGCAGAGGCTCTGCTAAATATTCCTCTATTTTAAAAAACAAAACAGATTATATTCCTAAAGAACGAGCTTAATAGCGTGAAGCTTTACTTGCTCCCCTTCTCAGACCTTTCATAACAAATCTCGAAGGATAGAATTAGATTGCATTTGTTGCCATGAGTGGCTTGTCTGGAAAATACACACAGTCCAGCAGTATCCAAACAGGAGGAGGAAACTGTATAATAATTTTTTTCTAAAAAAAAGTAAATGCCTTAAACTTCAATCTCATTAAAGTTGTTTGCAAGCAGGTAAAAAAATATTACTGCTTTTCCTTTTGGGGATGTAGGAATGGTTAAAATGGATGTGATCGGCTCTGAAGAAAGCAATGAAAATACAACAGATGGTGGATATATGCCCTTTGTGAAAGCATTTGTAACTACTAGACCACATCTGTTTGACAGCATCCTGCCAGTGTTTCTTCCTGAGACCAATTTTGCATACAGTGCCTGCTCGCATAACTTCAGATGTGTGACAATAAACGTCTCTGTTTTACCAGTTGCAAAGCTCCTCTGTACGACTTGGCTGCTCATGAAGACAAGGTTTTGTGTGTGGACTGGACAGAAGCAGGGGTAAGAACCTCAGGAGCAAGATACACAAATTACAAGCACAGTGCTTAGGAAGAGGGCCAAAAGCAGTTATAGACCATTTTTCCTTTATACTTAAAGGTGGAAGAGAGCAGGAAGTTTTAAATGTGCTTTCATTGATGCTGGGCAAGAGAGAGAGTTATTTTCTTATGTACTGTGGCACTTCCCCATACTACTACCACGTAAGGAAGGAGGATGGGGGTTTAAGCTCCATACCATTAAGTGGGCATTACACTAATACTCCAAACAGGGAGGGGTATGAGAACAACGGAATACCTTATTGAGAAAAATACGTATTTCAAGGTACTGTTCGCCCCTATGGGGACGAAAGAGGCAGCATGAACAGACAGCTGGGGCATGGCAGTACATGTTGAAGGGGGAACCGTACGGTAACCTGTTCTGCTACTCTAGTTCTGCTACTGTAGTGAGAAACACAGATGTATAGAAGGGGAGAAACAATTTTGTTAATGTTCAGATTCTCAGTTTGGCTCCTGTTCTCAGGAAACAGGAAAAGGCAGAAAAAGCTTTAGAAATTTTTCCACAAAACTTTGCTTTTTCTAATCTTAGGAGGAGGGTAAGAGACAAGATGGCTTCTGCTCTTTGCTTCGGGGTTTTGGACATGTATTCAAAGTTCATTACTCATTACTTCTCTTGTTTAGCTCTTCAAAGGAAAGAAAATTGGACGGCTCAACTCTTGTTTGGGTATTTTGCTTAGTTTGATACTAATCACAGTTTGTTTTTCCTCTCATTAGTTGCTACTGAGTGGCGGTGCAGACAACAAACTGTACTGCTACAAGTACCCGGCCAAACCCTCTGACGTTGGAGCATGAAGGTCAACAGCCAGAAGACTTGTAAAAGATTCTTTCCAGCAGTCCCTCTCTGTTGGCATCCCTACACAACCTACATCTGAAGACAACAGTTTTCTGTAGCTCAGAGAGCAGCGGTTTCTATTTATTTTTTGTATTGGTAACCTATATCCGTATTTATAATGGAGGAAGGGCAACAAGCAGCTTCAGACAAGATTAGTGTGAAAAAAATCAAACCGTTCCCTCCCTTTTTGATGAGCAAACATGGCATTGAATTAACATCTTTTCTCTTGTAAGAAGACTGTACAAAGCCTGCTACCATGTATTAAGAGTCAGCTGTTCCTGATATTTGCAGAAAAATTACTCACTGGACTAAATTATTTTTTAAGTTTACCCATTTTTCCTTAAAATAAAGCTTTTATCTATAGTTCATTGTTTTAGTGCCTCACTTCCGATAGAAGTTAGACTTCTACAGCTCTCATTTCAGTATGGCTGTTGCCAGTTGAGGTCCTTATTTGACAAGTCCTACTTTTGGGGATGAAGACTTCCAGTGTTTGCAGTGCAAATGGTATGCATGATTTACTTATAAAGGAACTTGACAGACTTACTGGGAAATGGAAAATTCAATTTTTTTTATTGCTCATCAGTTAGGGCTGTAAATATGTACTTTATAAAAATATCCCTGACTTGTGCCACAGTACATACTATATTGCAGTGGCAGTATGACTAGTGTGATCCCTTACTGCTAAAAAAACATGTCAGTAGAGCTTTACAAAATGAAATGTTCAGTCCCTTTGAAAACTGCAAGTGAGTTTTCATAAGTGAGAACGCTACAAATTGTTACCGTTCATTGGAGCCCTATGTCACTTGGACTATCAGCTTAGTTTTGAAATATTAGTATT